GTAAATTAATCACATTGCAGTTGCAGCACAGTACAATAGAAAAATAAGTCTACTACAGTACTGTTATTGACAAGAACAAAAACAAGTTAAATCAGATATGCACACTCAGAAATGAGACTATCGTATCCGATGACCAGGGAACACCTTTTCAAACTTTCTCTTCTTGGTTAGTAATTAAGTAATAGCGTTATTCAAATTCTTAAAATCATTAGGTATAGGTCTTCGTTAGTCACTGATATGCCCTCCTTGGCCGGAGGAGGGGGGTACACCATCAACCTACAACACAACCATCCATTGATTACCATCAGGAACACACACAAACAAATTAGAATTCTACTTATGACAGGGTTGTATTCATTAGGGCACACCGAAGCAAAATGCTTTGCAACCGAAAATGAAAACGAGCATTTCTTATTGGACAAGATCAGATAGTCCCTCCCTATTTCAGTCCATTTTCTTCTGTTTGGTGCCTAATAAACATGACCCAGGAGGAGGAGATAATTCAACCTTTGGTCCAGTGAAGATGGGTTGGAGTTCGGCCATATCATCGTCTTCATCATCATCAAAGAACGTGCTGGTCTGCTGCCGTGTGCCAATGCGCCTCTACGCCGCTGCCAATGTGTTGATAGTTTCAGTGTAGTTGTTGTTGTTGTTTACCTACATGAAAGTGATGTAACCAAAATATATTGGTGAAGGAATTGTTTAAAAGAAACTGTTTGTTGAAAATCTGATGTCGAAGAAAGGCAACACCGGCAACATATTTTATTAGCTAGTCTCTAAAGGCTCTGAGATGCTAGTCTTCCATGGAAAGAAAGCCCACCTTTTCTTTTGTTGCTTTGTTATAGTTGACCAATCTCCTGGCAGCTTCATCAAATGACAGTTTGGTGGGGAACTCATTGAGGTTGTTGGCTCGGCTGATGACCTGTGGGATCTCCTCTAAAATCATCTGCTGGTGCATCGACAGCCCGTTCTCAAAGATCAGCATGATGTACTTCTCATCGGAGTCTGAGGACAGAAGGGAAAGCTACAAGACATGTTGACATTTTGTTGAACGTGAGGTAACAGACTTAAATATATGTCATAGAAAGGATTCTCCAAACAGAGAGTCAATGTTGACAAGTTTGGTAAACAACAAACATACCCATCTATATACAGACTACTGACCTCCCGAGTGGCGCAGTGGTCTAAGGCACTGCATTGCAGTGCTAGCTGTGCCACTAGAGATCCCGGCCGCGACCGGGAGACCCATGGGGCGGCGCACAATTCGTCCAGGGTAGGGGAGGGAATGGCTGGCAGGGATGTAGCTCAGTTGGTAGAGCATGGTGTTTGCAATGCCAGGGTTGTGGGTTCGAATCCCACGGGGGCCAGTATGAAAAAATAAATAATAATGTATGCACTAACTGTAAGTCGCTCTGGATAAGAGCGTCTGCTAAATGACTAAAATGTAAAATGTCCTGATGTTAGCAACTGGCATGTGTTCTGCAGTCCGCACAGTTGTACCTCCCTTGTCGTGAGTCATTTTGAGCTAGGTGCGGAGCCGCAGACATTCCTCTGGGCTGGTCTGGAAGAAGAGAACGGGCAGCTTCCTCAAGCTGCACCACTCACAGCTAATCAGCGCAGACGCACGCAGCCTGAACTCCAGAGCATCCACCTCAGGACCTGGGGCACTATAACGTCACATACTGTTAGGTTTGCTAAATTCCAGGAACTTTTCAAAAATTCCAAGGTTCTTCAGAAAACCCAGTTGGAAGATTCCTGAAAACAGGAGGGAATGAGCAGGAGTACTTCCACTGACCAGCTTGGTCATTATCCTGCGAAGATTCCCTATTCTCACACTAATACAGTCCAGGATGATGCTGTCCAACTTGTAGGGAAAGATCATGTGTAGAGGCATCACGGCTCCCGAGTGGCGCAGTGGTCTAAGGCACTGCATCGCAGTGCTAGCTGTGCCACTAGAGATCCTGGTTCGAATCCAGGCTCTGTCGTAGCCGGCCGCGACCGGGAGACCCATGGGGCGGCGCACAATTGGCCCAGCGTCGTCCAGGGTAGGGGAGGGAATGGCTGGCAGGGATGTAGCTCAGTTGGTAGAGCATGGCGTTTGCAACGCCAGGGTTGTGGGTTCAATTCCCACGGGGGGCCAGTGTGAAAAAATAATTGAAAAAAATAATGTATGCACTCACTAACTGTAAGTCGCTCTGGATAAGAGCGTCTGCTAAATGACTAAAATGTAAATGTAAAATCAGGTATTTGATTCTTCCTCAACTGGTCATTCAGATTCAGCTGCCTAATTAGTTTTCAAGCTAGATGTCAGGAGCAGTATGTTTCTCAAAGGTAAACTTTACGATCCTGAACACACAAAAAGTAAAAGGGGACTTTGTCACAACGGCTGACAAAAACAACTTAAGGAGCCTATCTTGGTGAATACAGAACCACCTAGTAATATAATAATAAGCCATTTAGCAGACGCTTTTATCCAAAGTGACTCACAGTCATGTGTGCATACATTTTTACATATGGGTGGTCCCAGGGATCGAACCCACTACCCTGGCGTTACAAGCACCATGCTCTACCAATTGAGCTACAGAGGACCACATAATTTTCTGCCAAGCAAAACGACCCACAAGGTTAACTTGGTCCTCTGTAGCTCAGCTGGTAGAGCACTGCGCTTGTAACGTCAAGGTAGTGGGTTCGATCCCCGGGACCACCCATACACAAAAAAAAAATGTATGCACGCATGACTGTAAGTCGCTTTGGATAAAAGCGTCTGCTAAATGGCATATTATTATTATTTAACTTGAGAGAGCCGATCAGTCCATATTCTTTGTAAGTCACTATCCTAAGGTGGTGTGGGTTTCTCCTTAAGTTAGTATTTTCTGAGGCAAATCTAGTGGGCATCCATCGTGGGTGTCTTTTAGGGCCCTTTTTTAGTTGCTTTGCCAGCTTTCAGTGTCTTTCATGGGTGTCTTTTAGGGCCCTATTTTAGTTGCTTTGCCAGCTTTCAGTGTCTTTCATGGGTGTCTTTTAGGGCCCTATTTTAGTTGCTTTGCCAGCTTTCAGTGTCTTTCAGTACCCGTTTGAAACCCATTCTCTTTTGGTTTGGTTGTTTAAGTGACTCCTTTCCAAAGTTGTGTTACAGCTTTAAAATGGATTACATTTAGATTTTGTGCGACTGGCCTACACACAATACCCCATAATGACAAAGTGAAAATATTATTTGTAGAAATGTTTACAAATTAATTAAAAATGAAAAGCTGAAATGTCTTGAGTCAGTAAGTATTCAACCCCTTTGCTATGGCATGCCTAAATAAGTTCAGGAGTAAAAATGTGCTTAACCTCTTAAGGATCGTACCCTTTTTTTCAATTTTCTCCTAAAATGACCCAAATCTAACTGCCTGTAGCTCAGGACCTGAAGCAAGGATATGCATATTCTTGATACCATTTGAAAGGAAACACTTTGAAGTTTGTGGAAATGTTAAATGAATGTAGGAGAATATAATACATTAGATCTGGTTAAAAAAACATGCGTTTATTTTTTTGTTTGTTCCATCATCTTTGAATTGCAAGAGAAAGACAACAATATAATATTGCAGTTTAGGCACAATTTAGATTTTGGCCACTAGATGGCAGCAGTGTGTGTGCAAAGTTTCAGATTGATCCAGTGAAGCATTGCAATACTGGACTATTTTGTATCAAGTCTGCCCAAATGTGTCAATTGATACATTTTCAAGTACATAACTATAGAGAACATACAAAAATTATATGGTAATACAAAATGTAAGTTTACACACTCCCAGGAATGTCATACATGATGGATCATTAGATTATACACTAACTTTCACACATCTAGATGGCCGGGCGGGGTGGATGTGGAGCCAGAGACAGCAGGGGTTCAAACTGTAGAACCCAGTTCCTATATTTTAATATAAAAATTGATTCTATCAAACAAAACTAGGCTACATTTTACCTCTAGGACCCTTAGGATGACAAATCAGAGCAAGATTACTGAATGTAAGTACATTATTTACCTTCAGAGGTGAATGTATCAAACCAGTTGCCATGCTAAGTTTTTTGTTGTTGTGCACTCTCCTCAAACAATAGCAGTGTATTTTTTAACTGTAATAGCACTGTAAATTGGACAGTGCAGTTAGATTAACAAGAATTTAAGCTTTCTTTCTATGTCCTGGAAAGTTTGCTGTTACTTACAACAGTCATGCTAATCACATTAGCGCACATTAGCTCAACCGTCCCGTATACGGGATACCGATCATGTAGAGGTTAACAAGTCACATAATAAGTTGCATGGAATCTGTGCGCAATAATAGTGTTTAACATGATTTTTTTATGACTACCTCATCTCTGTACCCCACACATACAATTATCTATAAGGATGGGGTGAATAACAGGGCATTATCTGATTGTCATATTTTGCTGATGATTGTTAAATTGTAAAATAAATGCCAATAATTATATTGTAAAAAAATAAATTCAATTATCTGTAAGGTCCCTCAATCGAGCAGTGCATTTCAAACACAGATTCAACCACAAAGACCAAGGAGGTTTTCCAATGCCTTGCAAAGAATGTCACCTAGTGGTAGATGGGTAAAGAAAAAGCAGACATTAAATATCCCTTTGAGCATGGTGAAGTTATTAATTACACTTTGGATGGTATATTAATACACCCAGTCACAAAGATACAGGCGTCCTTCCTAACTCAGTTGGGATTTCACCATGAGGCCAATGGTGACTTTAAAATAGTTAAAGAGTTTAATGGCTGTGGTAGGAGAAAACTGAAGATGGATGGATCATGACTGGCACTGTCTATTCTGTCTTACACTTAGGGAACAAATTACAGGCCAAATACAACACAGACACAGGTCAGACAAATGTGACAAAGATACAGTTTGGGAAAGCCAGTGTTTATTCACAACAGTAAGACTTATTTATAAAAATGACGTATAGAAAAGCATCCATTTCTGCTTCTCTTTCTCCTAGTCCTGTCCTCATTTCTTGGCGGTAGACTTCATGGTCTGAAGCTGGTAGATCTGTTCACAGGCGATGGAGAGGCCCACCACCAGAGAGACAAACTCCTCGAAGTTCACCTTCCCATCTCCATTCTGGTCCAGATCCTTCATGATCTTGTCTATGGCGGCTGAGTCCTTCTGGGACTGAGAGGGAAGGTGAGATGGAGGAGATGAAGAGAGTGAGTAAGCGAGAGAGAGCGAGAGAGAGCGAGAGAGAGCAAGAGAGAGCGAGAGAGAGTGAGAGAGAGCGAGAGAGAGAGCGAGAGCAAGAGAGAGCAAGAGAGAGCAAGAGAGAGCGAGAGAGAGAGAGAGAGAGCGAGAGAGAACGAGAGAGCGCGAGAGAGAGCGAGAGAGCGCGCAAGAGAGAGAGCAAGAGAGCAAGAGCGAGAGAGCAAGAGAGAGAGAGAGCGAAAGCGAGAGAGAGCGAGAGAGTGAAAGAGCGAGAGAGCGAGAGAGAGCGAGAGAGAGCGAGAGAGAGAGAGAGAGAGAGAGAGAGAGAGAGAGAGAGAGCAATAGATGAGAGAAGGGGAGAGGAGGTTAGATTGACTTTGGATACTCTTTATTCTAACAAATTGAGAGAAATCAGAACGAGAGGGAAAGGGAGTGAGATGAGCAACAGAGAGAAAGTGTAGAGGGACAGTGAGATAAAAACAGAGGGATAGAAAAGAGAGAGAGAGATGAATGTCTCTGGTACCTTGAGGAAGCTGGCCAGTTCTGTCTGCATGAGTTCTTTCAGCTCCTTCTTGCTCAGTGTGTTGCAGTCACCGTCCTTGTCGGCATAGCGATGGAACACCTTGATCAGGGACTCCATGGAACTCTCCAACTGAGACGGCATGACTGCAGAGATATTGATACACTGAGGAGGGGAGAGAGAGGGAGGGGGAGATTGGAGGGGAGAGAGGGAGGGGAGGGGAGAGAGGGAGGGAGGGAGGGGAGAGGGTGGGATGGTGTAAATTACAGTGGCAAATACATAGTACAGTGAGTGTCTTGATGGCACTAATATGCAAACTAATAGCGAACTATCCCTTTGCAGCAAACTAACTAACAATGCACATTTAGGGAGGATGGGAGTTGGCTTTCTTTGTCTCTGTAAGCACAGTCTTTGGCTGCTGTTACTTCCTGGCAATTAAACTGTCATCTTCCACTCTTTTACACATTCCCTCTACCTCCGACCCCTCCTCTTTCTTTTGATGCCTCCCCCTTTCTTTGGTAACATCCAACATCTCTAGCTGTATAGACTGTCCTTTAACCTCTGTCATAGCTGGACCATGTGACACATCATCATAACTGTCAACGTTTGGGGATTTAGGGATGGAGATGGGGTGTGACAGGAGAGGAAAGGGTTTTACAACAGTCCAGTGTAAAGAAATTAGGCTGTTGCCAATTACATTTTACATTTTAGTCATTTAGCAGACGCTCTTATCCAGAGCGACTTACAGTTGGTGAATACATATATATACAGTGGGGGAAAAAAGTATTTAGTCAGCCACCAATTGTGCAAGTTCTCCCACTTAAAAATGTAATTTTCATCATAGGTACACGTCCACTATGACAGACAAATTGAGAATTCTTTTTCCAGAAAATCACATTGTAGGATTTTTTATGAATTTATTTGCAAATTATGGTGGAAAATAAGTATTTGGTCAATAATAAAAGTTTCTCAATACTTTGTTATATGCCCTTTGTTGGCAATGACACAGGTCAAAAATGTTCTGTAAGTCTTCACAAGGTTTTCACACACTGTTGCTGGTATTTTGGCCCATTCCTCCATGCAGATCTCCTCTAGAGCAGTGATGTTTTGGGGCTGTCGCTGGACAACACAGACTTTCAACTCTCTCCAAAGATTTTCTATGGGGTTGAGATCTGGAGACTGGCTAGGCCACTCCAGGACCTTGAAATGCTTCTTACGAAGCCACTCCTTCGTGGCCCGGGCGGTGTGTTTGGGATCATTGTCATGCTGAAAGACCCAGCCACGTTTCAATGCACTCTAGCAAACTTCAGACGGGCCTGGACATGTACTGGCTTAAGCAGGGGGACACGTCTTGCACTGCAGGATTTGAGTCCCTGGCGGCGTAGTGTGTTACTGATGGTAGGCTTTGTTACTTTGGTCCCAGCTCTCTGCAGGTCATTCACTAGGTCCCCCCGTGTGGTTCTGGGATTTTTGCTCACCGTTCTTGTGATCATTTTGACCCCACGGGATGAGATCTTGCGTGGAGCCCCAGATCGAGGGAGATTATCAGTGGTCTTGTATGTCTTCCATTTCCTAATAATTGCTCCCACAGTTGATTTCTTCAAACCAAGCTGCTTACCTATTGCAGATTCAGTCTTCCCAGCCTGGTGCAGGTCTACAATTTTGTTTCTGGTGTCCTTTGACAGCTCTTTGGTCTTGGCCATAGTGGAGTTTGGAGTGTGACTGTTTGAGGTTGTGGACAGGTGTCTTTTATACTGATAACAAGTTCAAACAGGTGCCATTAATACAGGTAACGAGTGGAGGACAGAGGAGCCTCTTAAAGAAGAAGTTACAGGTCTGTGAGAGCCAGAAATCTTGCTTGTTTATAGGTGACCAAATACTTATTTTCCACCATAATTTGCAAATAAATTCATAAAAAATTCTACAATGTGATTTTCTGGATTTTTTTTCCTCAATTTGTCTGTCATAGTTGACGTGTACCTATGATGAAAATTACAGGCCTCTCTCATCTTTTTAAGTGGGAGAACTTGCACGATTGGTGGCTGACTAAATACTTTTTTTCCCCACTGTATATATATATTTTTTCATACTGGTCCCCCGTGGGAATCGAACCCACAACCCTGGCGTTGCAAACGCCATGCTCTATCAACTGAGCTACATCCCTGCCGGCCATTCCCTCCCCTACCCTGGACAACGCTAGGCCAATTGTGCGCTGCCCATGAGTCTCCCGGTCACGGCCGGCTGCAACAGAGCCTGGATTTGAACCAGGATCTCTAGTGGCACAGCTAGCACTGCGATGCAGTGCCTTAGACCACTGCGCCACTGATTGTGACTTGAACCCGCTGAGAAAAGGCCTAATAGAGTTCTAAAACAAAAACATTGCTTCAATGAAACATGAAAAGGTTAGCCTATATATAGACTACATTATGTCACAATCAGTAAATAGTATGGCCCATCAACCTGCATAGTAAACCATAGAATAACTGATTTTTTAAATCAAAGCAAGTGAAGACTAATGAACATTTTAGCCTACAAGTTTGCCGGATGAGACAGATCAGTAGCTAGTCCCAATTCGAAACAATTACTACAGTTGTGTGAGACATGTTTATTACAGTAGATAACCTACTCCGTTAAACTAAAGACACCAATAGTTGTAGTAGAATAAGTGAAAAACGGTTACTTACCGAACAGAGGTGAGCGGCTAAAAGAACAGGGTGGGGAAGTAGCGTACTGCTCAAGAGCTGTGAGAAAGTATGTTCAGGAATGTTTTGAGAACAGGCAACGCCCGTCTGATTGTGAGTGTGTGTAGCCTATAGTGAGGGTGTGTGTGTGTGTGTGTGTGTGAGAGGGAGGGAGAGTGGGAGGGAGAGAGGGAGGGAGAGGAGAGAGGGGGTTAGAGATTAGACTTGGTGAATTCAACATGAAAAAATAGATTGGGATGAAGTTTGAATTAAATGCCATTTTATTCAGTTACATCTTTATTGTCCCCAGAGAGAAAACACATTTAGATCAGTTGGAGAGTCAATACTGCTGTTCCCATTATGGCTCACCTCTCCCCCTCTGTCCACCACCTCTATCTTATTGTTACAGTATGATCTTAGCCTCTACCTCAGCCCACAGTTGCCTACCACTCCCTGTGTGTTTTGGAACAGAGTCAAGCAGATCAGTATCTATTCTATTCTATAACACAGTTGGCTTGGCAACACCATACAGAGAACAGGACAGAAGCTACTGTGGAAGAGGCTGACATGCCAATAACCATGTAACCATGACCACCATCAATAACCACTTGGCTGTGTATTATATTCTAATGAGCATTGACAAGATTATCCATGATGATATTGGGTGGGTTCAAATCACCAGGAGCTCAGTGACAGTGTGTGTGGATGTGTGTGTGCGTTTATGTGTGTGTATGTTTGTGTGTGTGTGTGTGGGGGGGGTTTGGATAGGGTGTGTCCCTGTTGTCAAGGTAACAGAGTACATGCCCTATTGGTTGTGTTCGTCTGTGCTCGCTGTATCTCGTGATGGTCCTTGCTCTGCTGCATTTCTTTAACATCACTCTCTCATGCAGGCTGAAACCTGCCGAAAAACAGGAAAAGTCAAATAAGCCACTCCAGACTCAACGCCTAATGTAGGCCTAGCATTGGCTTTGGGACTGTCATGAATAATGCATTTAACCCTCCCATACTTTCTTTAAAGTCTCACTGCCTCCTTCTCACAAATGATCCCAAAAATATAAAAATTAAATAAAGTTGGTTCAACACAGTGGCGGGTCATTTTGACCCTAGGACAACGGGAGGGTTAACTGGCACAAGCAGATACAAATAAAAAGCAATGCAATCTCCAAAATTAAGATTGATAAAGTGCAATGCCCTATGTACTGTACACCACAGGAGTTGGCTATATATTGGTCATGTTTAGCATCATCAGTTTAATACAGTATACAGTAGTCCTACTGACCACAAGAAGAAGGAATAGGCAAAGCATATGTTCTTCTGACATGTATGTGATGGATATTCCAAGCTGCTGTCCTTTTGCTCCCCAGCATCAGAACAGCACAGCCAGTCACTGATAGTATTTTTGGTATTTTATTAGGATCCCCATTAGCTGTTGAAAAAGCAGCAGCTACTCTTCCTGGGGTCCACACAAAACATGAAACATGATATAATACAGAACATTAATAGACAAGAACAGCTCAAGGACAGAACAACATCATTATTCTTTTTTTTTAAAGGCACACGTAGCCTACATATCAATACATACACACAAACTATCTAGGTCAAATAGGGGAGATGTGTTGTGCCGTGAGGTGTTGCTTTATCTGTTTTCTGAAACCAGGTATGCTGTTTATTTGAGCAATATGAGATGGAACAGAGTTCCATGCAATAATGGCTCTATATAATACTGTACGCTTTCTTGAATTTGTTCTGTCATGAGAATTGTAATGAGAATCAACTCTCCCGCTTCTGGGTCTTGTGTTACATATAGGGATATAAGTAGCCTTTCCTGCAGTCAAATTACCAAACGTGCCCTCTAGTGGTCTCATGGTTGGAATGTTATTAATATTTTTCATAATTTCATAATTTGTAATGAATAAATACAAATTAAAACACTGAAAACCGGCGTTTCTATGTCAATTTTTTTGTTGCTTTATTTCAGTCTTCTGTGATGTACAGTGCCTTCGGAAAGTATTTAGACCACTTGACTTTTTCCACATTTTGTTACGTTACAGCCTTATTCTAAAATTGATTAAATTGTTTTTTTTTCTCTCATCGATCTACACACAATAACCCATAATGACAAAGCAAAAACAGGTTTTTATAAATTTTTGCAAATGTATTTAAAATAAAATACGGAAATATCACATTTACATAATTATTCAGACCCTTTACTCAGTACTTTGGTGAAGCACCTTTGGCAGCGATTATAGCCTCGAGTCTTCTTGGGTATGACGCTACAAGCTTGGCACACCTGTATTTGGGGAGTTTCTCCCATTCTTCTCTGCAGATCCTCTCAAGCTCTGTCAGGTTGGATGAGGAGTGTCGCTGCACAGCTATTTTCAGGTCTCTCCAGAGATGTTCGCTTGGATTCAAGTCCAGGCTCTGGCTGGGCAACTCAAGGACATTCATGGACTTATCCTGAAGCCACTCCTGTGTTATCTTGGCTGTGTGCTTAGGGTCGTTGTCCTGTTGGAAGGTGAACTTTCACCCAGTCTGAGGTCCTGAGTGCTCTGGAGCAGGTTTTTATCAAGGATCTCTCTGTACTTTGCTTCATTCATCTTTCCCTCGATCCTAACTAGTCTCCTATTCCCTGCCGCAGAAAAACCTCCCCACAGCATGATGCTGCCACCACCATGCTTCACCGAAGGGATGGTGCCGGGTTTCCTCCAGATGTGATGCTTGGCATTCAGGCCAAAGAGTTCAATCTTGATTTCATCAGACCAGAGAATCTTGTTTCTCATGGTCTGAGAGTCTTTAGGTGCCTTTTGGCAAACTCCAAGCGGGCTGTCATGTGCCTTTTACTGAGGAGTGGCTTCCGTCTGGCCACTCTACCATAAAGTCCTGATTG